GAAAACTCACCTCCTGGGTCCTGCTAGATGACACTGATCGACGGGACCAGGGGCAAGCCCACTCTGATACATCTCAGAGGGCAGGCAGAATCAGGCAGAGACAATCCTTATGCTAGGGCCTAGGCCAGTGATGGCGAACCTTTTAGAGACCGAGTGCCCAAACTGCAACCCAAAACCCACTTATGTATCATCAGGTGCCCGATGGGCGTGGCCCATTGGGTGGGCGTGGCTGCGGTGGTAACGGCAGACTGGGTGGGACGAAAAAGTTCAATCAATCAATTCCAACTTTGCGAGATCTTTTTTTTTCCCGCGAGAAGTTGAAATTGACTGATTGATTGAACCTTTTTTTTTTTTTTGCACACGGCGGCGGAGCCCTAAAGCAAAAAGGTTTTATAAAACCCAGCTGAAGGCCTAGGACTGGGGCGACGGTGCGCGTGCCCACAGAGGGCTCTGCGTGCTACCTGTGGCACGCGTGCCATAGGTTCGCCACCACGGGCCTATGCAATATAGCACTTAAAGGTGACAAGCAGCAGCTTGAATTTCCCCCTGGAAGGCCACTGTAATTAATGCATTGCACAGAATATGGGTGTTACGTTGGTATGGGGTACTCTACCAATCACTGCTCATCCTGCTGAATTTTTATGAGCTGTAACTTCCAAGTGATTTTTTTTAAAGAGACTCTCATGTAGAATACATTTCACCATCCAGGAGATGAGCAATACATAAATGACTGTATGAAGGAAAAGGTACAACTGGCATACATCATGGACTTGTATGAAGGTTCTTCTGATCACGGCTTCTACCAGCTGTTCAAGTAGGAACTGTGAGACAAGGAGGACCTCCACATTATGCACCAGGCTTGAACAGGGCAGTGGAGGAGCTCCAAAACGATGCGGTTCAAACACACACGGCCATTCAACCTTGCTAGCTTTTTGTCCGAGCTCGTTTCTCCCATCCAGTCCCTGCACTCACTGCCTTGCAGTCAGCTCAGGAAGATACCATGATTAAAGTATTGAAAAGAAATGAAGAGCAACATGATGGTTGCACTTTCGCTATCCAGACACGGTCCTAGGTCATCAAAAAGAGTAATCAGTGCCATTTCCACACTATGCCCCAGCCTGAAAACCCATACTTCACATGGCTTGTATAGGTAGAAATTCCTAAATTATAATTATATAAATATAATTCAGCAATATCTGGAGGGTATAATAAGCTATATTTATAAAAGAAAAGTAATAATTAGGACCATTATTTTGCCTATACTATAGGCTTAAAAATTGCCTATATTTTCTATGTTTATCTAAGAAAAAAATGTATTAGACTTTTGTTCCTCTGTTAATATGCCATTCAAATGGGAATTATATTGGGAATTCAAATGGGAATTAAATGGGAATTCTGAGGATCCGGTGGCAGGATAAGGTACCAGATACAGATGTCCTCTCCAGAGCAGGCCTATCATCAGTTTACACTCTGTTGATGAAAGTCCAGATGCGCTGGGCAGGCCACGTTGTAAGGATGCCAGACCATCGCATCCCTAAACAGCTCTTCTATGGTGAGCTGTCTCAAGGAAAGCGATCGCACGGGGGACAAAAGAAGCGATACAAAGACACGCTGAAAGCATCTCTCAAGTCCCTGGATATCGACACCATCTCTTGGGAATTTTTGGCGCATGATCGACCGACANTGATGGCCCATAATCCATAAGATGTCAAGGTCCTCATCGAAATCGATGGACGAACAACATATTGTAAGCAAAATCATTGACTACTCCTGTTAAACTCCTGTTAGATATTGTCTTTTTCTGAAACCCGATTTAGTAGTTTTTTTTAAAAAAAGTGGAAAAAGTAGAACATATGCTTCAATGAACTCATAATCATGAAATTTTGATTTTCCATGAAAATATAATATACAGAAAATTTATCACTGCAAAATTACATTAGTATTACATTCGAAGAAAGCATTTAAGCCATCATTCCATTACCTACTCAGAGTAGTGCATTAAATTAAATGTATCCCCAAATATAGATTTCTTTATATAACGTCCTCAAATGACAGAGGAAAAATTACTACCAATTTTTCTTTATTAATCTTTTGTTAAAAAAAATACTTTAATCTTCTAAAGTACAATTTTCTATAATTTTAAAAATACACTTACAATACAGCTGAAGGATAGAGTTACAATTTTAGACCAGCAATTTCAGTTAAACCTATTATGACAGAGAACTTGGAAAAAACCTTCATAAAACCTTTAAATTTATTTTTAAATCTCTAAAGATTTCTAATTATTACATACCTAGTATATTGCCATTTTAATGGTAATATTATGAAAATATCCAATGTATCTGATGAACAACATATTGAATTTAGATTTACTCACTGTTAAAGAAATTCAATAAAATCAATAGGTCAACAAATAACAAATGTATTATTATATGATAAGTTTTATCCAGTAATCCCTCAAGGACAATAGTCCTGAGAACACAGAACAGATCAAATTATCTCCTTCCTATTAGTTATTTCTAAGATTTTAAAAGCCTAACCTCAGAAACTACAAAAGGAGACATGGTGTGGTTGGACATTGTGCAGGATAAAGAGGAACATTAGATCTGAAGGATTTAATGGACATTGGTCTCACATTATGTCCCAAACATAATGGCAAAAAATAGTTACTAGTCAGAAAACTGAATTTCTCAGAATATTCAGAATTGGATTTTAGATTGCCTTTTGTAAATTAGATCCAAGTCATCTAAAGTTATTTATGACTAAGTTCTGTGAATGTCAGTTGCAATTAGCTGGCCATTGTATATTAAGAATGTCTCCAATTTACTGGTGTTGTTTTTATAATAGCATTTAAAAAAACATTAAGCTGAATGAGTTACAATAGCAATTGAAATAATTTTCATGAAAATTGTTTGCTCTTTATAATTATGTCTAACCAATAATGTCCCAGAGGTAAATTTACCGGTCAGTCACATTAAAATGCAGTATAAATATATAGTCTTTCATATTATTTTTTTTGCATTTACATTCTAAATTATATTACAATTTTCTACCTTCTGCCATAAAGAGGGATTGCAAACCTTTGCGAACATTAAGCAATTCTTCTTCATGCTGTGATTAAAAAAAAAATAAGCATAATTTATTTTTAAAAATAATTTCCCCAAAACTTTGTTTAAAGTTATGTATAATAAATACAGAATTGAATGTATGATGAAAAGATAATATTTACCATTTCCTTAAGAAATTTATCTTGAATCCCCTTAATATCTTCTTTCAATAAATGTACCTGAAATGCATCCAAAATAATTATTTATTTTGAAGCAAACTTGAATCTATAACTGATAGTAAGGGCAAATAAATGGCTTTACAATGCTTCCAACACATAGTCATTTCAGAATTCTGTGTTGGTATAACATGACTTCTAGGCTGCAACTTATCACTAGTCTGTAACAGTGTTTCAAGGGTTGTAAGCACTTCTTTTAAAGGTTCAGAGTTATCCTCCTTCTTTCATTTGCTTTTCTAGTTCTGAAATTCACATTTTCTATGTTTCAAAACTTCAAACAGAAACCTTTGAGGGAGATGGGTGGTTCAGAAATGTGATAAACAAAAAAAGCAATCCTGATGCTTTCAATAATTGTTCTGACTTTGCTTATAAGACTAAACTACTGATTATCTTGTCTACAGACTGGGGGGAAAACTGAGAATAATAATAGACATATAAATCATACACCCATATAAATTCCTCCGGGGCCACAATTTTGTATTGGGAATGATTCAGAGACCCAAAAAGATCATGGCAGAACTATTTACTGATAGGCAAAGCTGATTCAAAGAAATTATGGTAACTGCACAGAGAAACGGCAGTCAGCATACATTATGATTGGAAAATTATGCTCACAGATGCCAACAATATGCTTGCTGAATCATATTCCACCTGTGGGACTGCCCTAAACACTATATACAATTAAGCACAGGTTGAAAGCAGGAAGAGGTGAGTACCCACTAGTTCCAAAGTTATGAGGCAGGAAAACAGGAAAGATTTCAGATTTTATGCTCCAGAATATTTCAGGACACAGGGAAGGAAGGAAGGAAGGAAGGAAGGAAGGAAGGAAGGAAGGAAGGAAGGAAGGAAGGATGTATTGACTGATTGTTTCATAAGAAAAGTTTAACATTTGTACTAGGTTTGCAACATAAACACTAATAATCATTACAAGGAGTAGAAAATTCAAACCATATTAACTTTTTGGGGGCAGTAGCTATTTCAATTTGCAGAATGTTTCTGTATATTGAAAGTAGATGTTAGAAACAGTATTTTTTAGAAGGGGAGTGTATTTTAAACCAACTGTACTTTTGACTAGCATACAAAACCTTACTAATTCAAGCTAATTTCTTCCTTGTTTTCTCAATGAAACCCCAAGTACTTTATTTTGTGCTAGCTAATGATAAGGACCTTCCTGCTCTGACCCCAATTAGATCATTATTTCCCTCTTTTGCCTTAACCATTATGATCACCTCAGCCAGCCACAAGGAAAAATACATACTTGAGACAGAAAAATATTTTCCTCTTGATCAGCAGTATGGAAAACGTTCTTCTCAAATGAAGTTCTAAGATTCTGGAATCTAAGAAAGCGTAGATCAAACCAACATTTGAATTATTTGCTTTGACATAGAGAAAAATATTCATAATAAAAAAACACTTGTTTCCATTTTATGTAGCCAGACTTATAGTCACAAGACTGCAGCCCTTCTGGATCAAGGCCAGCTGCTTTAGCAACCTGTTACTACTGTGAGGAAAATAAGTGCTCGGAGGAATGGGAGCATATCAGCAAAAGAGAAACCTGGAAGGAATGTGTGTTAATCAAACAGACACATAGAGGTCTTGAAGTGTCACAGTAAATTTTATCAACATTTATATGGCAACCTACTGACCTGTTTTTTTTTCTAAGACTTTCTTGAAGATAATAAGTTTTCTTTCTTGAAGATAATAATAGTAGAAGGGTGGGGAGTAACTTGAGAATTGTATGCATGCTTACATTGTTTATTACTTATGCATCATTTTTTCTCAATTTTTTTGGGAGGATATCCCTCCATTGTGCACAATTAAATATAAATACTGCAGTGAACCTTGATTATTGGTTTTGAGTCCTGCATTTTGATTCCATACTACTGACAGCCCACTAAATATCTCTGGAAATATTTTTCAACAAGGAATAAAGATAATAGATGTTCTCTGCTGATTCCTATCTGCCAAATGGTATTCAGTGCCACCTTGGCTATAAACCTTTGAAGGTAACACTTAAGCACTATGGATTATATTATCCAAATAACAGGTTTATCCTTAAAAGTCGTCATCACACTTTATGGCAGTAAATTCCATACACAGTTTGCTTTGGTTTAATTATACTGAGAATCTCTGTCAATGAGTGAGCTGAAATTCTAGGATTATGAAAATAAAAATTTTCTTAAAGAAAAAAGATAATCACTGGGACTACCATGGCTGGCTTACGCCATCATTTATCAACTTTGATTTTCAGATATTATTATTACATCGTACACCTCCTAAGGAATATAAATTAATGGCTTTTAAAAGTATAATTATAATAATTATTATTACATTGATAATAGAATGTCTTTGTTATATTATAATAAAAAGGAAATATACTAACCTCTGCTGCTCATTCTTGTTGTAAGTGCTAAATGTTTCAAAATGCTTCTTTGAAAAATTCTAAAAATAGCCAATGTGAAATACAAATTTGAGTTCATTAGACTTTAAACATAAATCAAATATAACTTTACTACAAGCTGTAATGATTTCATGCTCTATTTTAATCACTTGCTTACAAGACTTTCTGCTAAGGCCCATAAATTTTCAGACAGCATAATGAAGTCATTTTTATTGAGCAGCTCAGACTTGTAAAAATGTAGGGTGAAGTAAGAGATACAGTGAATCATGATCATATTCAATCTCAAAGCATGATGTCATTCTTTTTAAAAAAAACTGATTCCAGTCTTAGAAATTTTAATCCAGATATCCATTTAATGTACTGAGGCTTTTGCATTGCACCAAATCAAAAATGGGCCAGAGTTAATAAATGAGGAGTTGACCTTTCCTTTAAAAAAATAAAATAGCGATAGTAGTTACAAGTTAGTACTGCTGCTGGAAAGCATTTTGTCTCCTTCCTATTTAGAAACTGTTCAGTTCCAAGCAATGGTTGGGGAAACAAAGCTATGGAGCAATTTACCACTGCTGGAATGATTTACTACAATTAGTTGCAAAATTTTGTTTTATAGTCCGTGACACCAAAGCCAGCCTTAGAAGCTGACTGGTATGTTTTCCTTTTTTTATACCAATTCAAAGAATATACTTTGCTTTAATATTTTTTTAAAGTTATTTATTAAAATACGTTTAAGTAATTTAATATTTTTCTAAAGGAAAATAACATACCGAAAAATCTTTTTCCATAGTTCTCAATATTTGTGAATCTCTTTCAAAACTTTCAAGCTCTTTCAGGAGGCAAGAATGAAGTTTTTCCAGCTGTCTGGTTCTGGAAAAATATAAGCAAAAGTTAAATATACAACACATATTATAATAACAACAACATGAAACTCTGGGAATTCATTCTATACAAACCTGTGCTTGTGTACATCTCTTCCCATTGTGTACATATGCTGGTTAGCTGTTTGCAGTGACTGCTTTGCAAAACAATCAATTTTCTTTGATCGGTTCTAAAAATACAAAGGTTACATCATTATTCCTTTCAAACTGAGCATGGACTGAAATTAAAAAAAAAGTTTTTTTAAAAATTGTGAAATCCTATCATGTCCATGTAACCTAAACATCTCAAATCATCAATCATCCTGAAAGGTTTTTCTTGTTTAACAATACTATATCTACATATACACATACATACACAAACATATTGTACACACACACATACATACACACACACACACAAACATATATACACGGCAGCAATCATTTAAAAAGAGTATAGAAAAACATTTGTTTTTTTATCCTCTCTCTCTCTAAGATGACAACATAATTTCCTTCTTTTTTATTTTCTAATCACCAAACTCATAAATCAAAATTGATTTTTTTTCTTTTTTTTTCAGCAGAGTCCATAAGGAGTCTCCAGGCATTGAGTAAAAGATAATTTTGCTATTTCTGCTAATTTTGACATCGTCATTAGCCATTCCTTGCTTTTGGGTATGTCAAAGTCTTTCAAATTTGTGTATAATCTCACAGCCGTTATCATATACAAAAACAATCCTCCATATCTCTTTTCTCACTTTCTATCCTTTAGTTTCAACAAAAAGGTATGGTTTCAATTGAATATTAATCTTTAAAATTCTTTTTATCACTGTATGTATTTAATCCCAAATGTTTCTGGATTTTTCGCCACGCCATGAGGCATGATAAAATAATTTTGTTGTTGAGCTGCTCAATAGCCTGGAAAGCAATATCTACCAAAAATTGTCCAAGAATTATCCAAGATTTTAAAAAAATCGTTGTTTTTAAATGATTTTTTTAAAAAAAATAAAAATAAAAATTCGAAACCCACAGGAATAGAAGTATTATTAGTGTCTGACAATTTGTCTTCAGGCCAGCACTGTTTATCGTCAGGCTGGCACAGGTGATACAGGTAGTTCTCAGTTAGTAACTGTTTGTTCAGTGAACATTCACGGACTTTGCAACCAATTCTCACATTTATGACCTTTGCAGGTTGTAAAGCAAAGAACGCTGAAGTAAGAGCATAAGCACAATTGTGGTTTCATTTAGTGACCACTTCATTTAATAAATGAGTTGCCAACCCTAATTGTAGTCACTAAATGAGAATTACCTGTAATTGAAAAGAATATCAACTCCTTTGCCTATAAATGTGCCTATAAATGCCTGTGGATTTATTTAATGTACAAAGGGAAGAGCCCTTGGGATATTTTCTGATTCTAGAATGTGATATATTAACTGATCGCTCAATAGGAGAGAGCAGAATGGTATTCCTGTTATTACCTATGGATACTTTAAAATTTTAAAAACTGTTTTTAAAATAAATCCTTTAACTAAATCTTCTGGAGATTATGGTTTGGCCCTGAAGACAATAATTAAGGTTCAAAGGGCTTTTTTTTTGTTCTCATCGTTTTTATGTCCAGGACATTTGAAATATTTTAAGTTGTGTTCTGTTGGGAATGCAGAATGATTTAGTTGTTTCAAAATTCGTTCTGCTGAAGGTAGCCATTTTGAAACATCTGAAGAAAACCAAGACACAGACACACATTCTTGTCTATACATTCAATTCGGTGAGCAAAAACAATAAATTCAAATTTCTGTAATATTCTGAATATACATGGAAATATGACCCTACAATGAGATTATAAAGAATAACCTTTATAAAAGAGTAGAATGAATGTTTATGTTACACATTCACACAAATATACATGCAAAAACACAGATGTCCATCATTACCAGAATATTTGAGACAAAGGCAGCATGCACTAAATATATACTTCCAAGAAAGATATAAATATTCACCTGTATTTTCCTAGCAAATTCCTTATGAAGCTTCTGACAAATCATCTCTACATTTGAACAGTCTGTATCCCAGCCTTCCCCATCAAAAAGAGACGTCTCATTGACAGAAAAAGTAGATAAGCTTTCAGATACTGAAAAAGAATGCTATTTTAAGATTTAGATGTTATTTACTCAAACTGAATTATCTTTTTAGTTCTAATGTGCTCTACAAGACTTAACACATCTTCTTCAGAGAATATTCCCCTAATATGGCGTAAGCAATTTTCAGTGTTGGGAATAACGGACAGAAAACCAGGAGGTCACTGCTTCTTTGGACCATTTTAGCAAGTTGCCAGAGGGCTTTATTCTCTGAACAGAAAAATAATTACAGCTTCCTATAAAAAGATTAAATACTAATATATAGAGGTAATACTATTTTTGAACTGCGTGTTGTCAAAAATAAATTCTTGTAAAACCATTACTGATGACTCCTCTATTCAAAGAAACTTCCTGCTATTATTTTTATTTTGAGACAACAGATAATAAAATACAAGTTTCTATTAAACTACAAAATTACCCTTTATCAGATATCTGCAAAAAAAAATAAATCTCATACTCAAAAAGTCTGAAGATTACTGACTCTAGCAAATCCAAAATGAAATCAAAAGAGCTTGCAGATTGGTAGCATGGTCCTCTCAAATTGAAAAGTAACATAAAGTGACATAAATTCACAGCTTTATTATATGCCATATATGACTTGTGTCATTTCTTACTCCAATGATTTTTACAACTCACCTTTATAAGTGCTATCATCTGCTTTGAATAACTTTCTAGGGAGAAGCTTTATTTTCCTTTCCTCTCTCCTGATTTCTTCTTCATCATCAGAGTAATTTTCTGTATCTTCCTGATACAGTCGTTTGAAATTAGGATGTATTGTAGGTCCTTTAATAAGATTATATTTAAACACATGTTATAAAAATAGTAACAATGCTGCTTTGCACATTTTAGACATCCTGAAGAGGATGTCTCCAAATAATGTTCAAAACACCTCAGGAAAACTGTCACTGATTTTTTTTTT